TATTATATATAATACTTTCTTTTCTTTTCTTTTATTCTACTGCATAAAACCTGATATGAGATGGTACAGAAGAAATGCAGACCCATGTAAAAGATGGTTTGGGGGTGTCAGAGAAACATTAGTCGATGACAATATGACCATGCAACTAGCGATGCCACAAACAAGAGAAAAACGTTTGCTTCTCGCCTCAACTCCGCAAAGTGACTCTGACAGAAATAGGTAAAATCTAAAAGGTCGATCTTTTTTTTCACCTATTTTCTTAAGTTTTTTCTGTCGTCTTATACCGAAGATGTAGCTGGGAGATGTAATTGTCGGTCGTGGTCGAGGTGTGTAGCTTTTTCGATCGTCATATTGTGCCTTCAAAGGGTCTACATCGATTCATCTTTTTCTTGGTCTTTTCTTTGCCTTGAAGCCATCGTGAGCCGATAAAAAGTAAAATATGTCCATTGTACCTTGTCCAGATTTAGTGACGAAAAGCGCTTTGAAAAGAGACTTTTGAGAATTTCTTTGGACAGAAAAGAAATCAAACGAGGAAGTATTAAAAGAAGCCCTCGTGGGATCGCCATTAATGAGAACGAGGGGGAGTGACAAAACCAGTTTCTAGGATACTGGACACGACATAAAGACCTTGAACAATTTGCTCTCAATTGAAAAATATAGGCAAGCGAAACATATGTGGACCCAGAGTTATAATTGGAAAAACCTGAACAGATGAGAGGCTGGGAAATACTAGGATTATATGGGATTTTTAAGAACGCCCTAGCGGACAAATGAATGGAAAACCACGATCGCCGATGTCGCTCTTAGGTCTGCCACTTTAGAAAAATGAAGTTATGAAGAAAATGTGTCAATATGATAGTATTCTTTATACCGGTACTTCAAGAAAAACAAAAGAAAACAAACAAACAAACAAAAAATAAGATACAGAAATTATTTTTCCTATCAAATATCTTATCTCTCCTTTTCTTAGTTTTTTACTCTTTAGTAACACCTCTATCTTTGGCATTTATAGTAGACCTAATTTGTGTTGCAAGAACAGCAAAACTCTTACTGAACCAAAACAGAACAACAGCAGCAGCAACAACAACAGCAACTACAACAGCAACAACAACAGCAACAAAAACAACAACAAAAATGAACACTCCCCCTCACCCTTTATCCTCTGAACTTTCCGTCTCCAGGTTCAACACGTCCACTGTCAAACTGCCCGTTCTTTTTTGGATCCATGGGGGCGGATATTTTGGGGGCACGGGTGCCCTCTATAACGGAACAGAGCTAGCCCTGAGGGGCGTCATAGTAGTGACAATCAACTACAGGCTTGACCTATTCGGGTTCCTGTCCACTGCCGACTCTGTCATCCCAGGGAACTTTGGTATGCTGGATCAGGTCGGTGTGCTTGTTTATTTATTTAATTGTGTGTTAGTTATATTTGTCTGTTTGTTTGTTGGTTCGATTGTGTGCTAGAGTGTTTTTCTGCATGGATGTTACATCTCTCTCAATACGAGTTGGCCCTGACTGGCATGGTCTGAAGCCTGCCTCCTAAATCATACTAAATTATCAAAAATGTATCGATGTTAACATTAAAGCACCTTCATCAAAAAAGAAGAAATTCTTAAGCTCTTGATCACACTCGAACCATTGTCACAGGTGCTGGCTATGGAGTGGGTCCGAGACAACATCGCAGCTTTCGGCGGTGACCCCAATGACGTCACCCTGGCCGGCGAGAGCGCAGGAGCGAGCAGTGTATCCCTGCACCTGTTGTCTCCCCTGTCTAGGGGAAAGTTCCACAAGGCTATCATGGAAAGCGGGGTGTCCCTGTGTCCGTGGGCCTGGAACCACTCGAATGTGACGTATTACGCACCTAAACCCATGGCGAACACTCTAGGACTCGGTACGTTTAACTACAGTTTTGAGTGAAGTTTCAGTGAAGAAAGGCGGATAGGTGATGGGGTTCAGACAGGTTGATATAGGATTTTTGACAACATTCTAGCAGATATATTAGTGGCGTCTTCTTGAGATTTAGCACTTTATGAAGAACAAGAACAAGAACAAGAACAAAAAGAACAGAAAGAACCGAAAGAACAAGAAGAACAAGAACAAGAACAAGAACAAGTAGAACAAGAAAAACAAGAACAAGAAAAACAAGAGCAAGAAGAAGAAGAGCAAAAAGAACAAAAAGAACCGGAAGAACCAGAGGAACCAGAAGAACAAGAACAAGATCAAGAAGAAGGACAAAAATAAGAAGAAAAAAATATAGAAAAGGCCCCTCAACACATATCACTGGGCATTCTTGGTGCACGTGTGTGTTATCAAAAAGGTTTAATATATAATGCACGCCAAAAAAAAAAAGAGACGACTCAATTTTGACGCTAACTAATATTAAAAGCGTAAGAAAAATAAAGGGACTTCGTTACATAACTGTTTTTCAACATTGGGTTCTTTGATGTAACACATCAGGGGAGATTACTCAACATGGCAATTGAATGTAATGACTGAATCAGAGTTATCGCCTTTACAAGTTACTTGAGTGCGGTTGTAAGAATTATGATTATTATGCATAAGTGCAGCTGGTATGTTTGTTTGTTTGCTTGTTTGTTGTTGTTGTTGTGGTGGTGGTGGTAGTAGTAGTAGTAGTAGTAGTAGTAGTAGTAGTAGTAGTAGTAGTAGTAGTTGTTGTTGTTGTTATTGTTGTTGTTGTTGTTGTTTATGTTGTTGTTGGTGGTGGTGGGGGTGGTGTTGTCGTCGTCGTCATTGTCGCCGTCATTGTTGTTGTTGTTGTTGTTGTTGTTGTTTTTGTTGTTTTGGGGGAAGGTTATACTTTTCTCGAAAGGACCTCAAACTGACTCAGACCCTTCATTGTGGGTGGTTGGCGGGTGCTCTGGTGTGGTTTGCTCCTTCTTTCCTATCAAACATCTATCATCCTGATCTGTCCTCCTTTTTTGTGTTTGCTACTCTCTTGTAACACATCTAATCTTCGGCACTTATATGACCTTATTGTGTTGCAAGTGCCGTAAAACTCTTACAAAAACTAAACTAAGACCCTTCATTTCCCTGACCCGTTCTTCCAAAGGGGTTGGCTGTTCTCATGAGGACTCCCACGAACTCCTGTCATGCCTGCGACGCATCGAGACAGATTACCTGGTGAACACCAGCATTGGACTACAGGTGAGACATTACTTGTTGAACATGAGTATTGGCCTACAGGTCATACAGATAACATGGTGAACATCAGCATTTGCCTACAGGTGAGACATTACCTTGTGAACATCAGCATTTGCATACAGGTGAGACATTACCTGGTGAACACCAGCATTGGACTACAGGTGAGACATTACCCAGTGAACATCATTTGCCTACAAGTGAGACATTACTTGGTGAACATCAGCGTCGGCCTACAGGTGAGGCATTACTTGGTAAACATGAGTATTGGCCTACAGGTCAGACAGATAACATGGTGAACACCAGCATTGGCCTACAGGTGAGACATTTCCTGGTGAACACCAGCATTGGCTTAAAGGTGAAGCCGAGGATAGTTCTTTCATCTCCCTCTGTTACTTCGGTGTGGCTGTCTCACTTTTTCTTAGCACTAAATGACCGCTATTGTGTCTATGTACTTCGCTTTATTGAAGAAAAAAAGAGACATAATATTATTCCGTTTTTATCATGTCTGCTATCATTGTCGCTAAAGCCATCGTTATAAAAGAGATAATTCCACCATCTAGTATCTCAGTCTTCCTTCTGAAGAAAGAAAGAAAGAAAGGAAACCGAAGGAACAAAGAAAGAAGAAGAAGAAGAAGAAGAAGAAGAAGAAGAAGAAGAAGAAGAAGAAGAAGAAGAAGAAGAAGAAGAAGAAGAAGAAGAAGAAGAATCGCTCATATGTAAAAGAACACGACCCATAATTTTGTCTCCCCCCTCAGAAAACATTGCGAGACGCCATGGTGTGGGTCCCTGTCGTGGAAACTACGTTTGGCTTCTTGCCCAACACGCCGGAGATCTTACTGCAGAAAGGCCTTATCGCTGACGTGCCAACCATCAGGGGCTACAACAAAAACGAGCTGGCTCTCTCCGTCAAAGACCCAGAGGACCAAGGCTACTCCATCGAAAAGTTCGGAGAGCTGCTCATCCTCAGCGCGTATTTCTTCTTCCAGAAGGACATAGTCGCCACAGTGGCCGAGATTGAGCTGGTTTACAGACGGAACCAAACGTCAGCTAAGGGGAGGCGATCTGACTACGAGCGGCTGATGAGTGACTACTACATGATCGCCCCTATCAGTTACGAAGCGCAGCTGCACAGTAAGCTGCAGAAGAGGTCCAAGTCGTACTTGTACGAGTTTGCTCACCGGCCCACGTTCACCAGCCTGGCGCCCTGGCAGGGTGTGGTGCACACGGATGAGCTTGCCTTTGTCTTTGGTCTGCCCAGAGGTGAGTACTGGTTTTATATTTTATTTCATTTTATCTTGTTGTTGTTGTTGTTGTTGTTGTTGTTTTGGGGGAAGGTTATACTTTTCTCGAAAGGACCTCAAGGTGACTCAGACCCTCATTGTGGGTGGTTGGCGGGTGCTCTGGTGTGGTTTGCTCCTTCTTTCCTATCAAACATCTATCGTCCTGATCTCTCCTCCTTTTTTGTGTTTGTTACTCTCTTGTAACACATCTAATCTTCGGCACTTATATGACCTTATTGTGTTGCAAGTGCCGTAAAACTCTTGCTGAAACTAAGACTCACTTGGCAGCGGCCTTGTTGCTGGTATAAAGTCTCAACATAAAGTCCCCCTGACCACACAGACACACACACACACACACACACA